GGATGTGAGATGTGGAGTCAAATTATATCATTTTGGAACTTTAAGGCTTAATGACTGCCCTATTGGATTTTGGACTTGTGTGGAGCCTGTAGCCTCTTTGTTTTAGCCAATGTCTCCCATTTAGTATGGGAGAATTTATCCAATGCCTGTACCGCCATTTGTATCTTGGAAGTAACTAACTTGCTTTTGATTTTACAGTCTCATAGGTGGAAGGGACATGCTTTGTCTCAGATGAGACTTTGGAGTTGGACTTTTGGGTTAATGCTAGAATTAATTAAGACTTTGGGGGACTGTTGGAAAGGCATGATTGGTTTTGAAATGTGAAAGGGACATGAGACTTGGGAGAGACCAGTGGTAGAATGATATGGTTTGGCTCTGTGTCCCCACCCAAATCTCACCTCATCATAATCCCCATAATCCCCACGTGTCAAGTGTGGGACCAGGTGGAGGTAATTGAATCGTGGAAGTGGATTCCCCCATGATGTTCTTGTGATAGTGAGTGAGTTCTCATGAGATCTGATAGTTTTATAAGTGTCTGGAACTTCCCCTGCTGGCACTCATTCTCTCTCCTGCTGCCCTGTGAAGAGGCGCCTTCCGCCATGATTGTAAGTTTCCTGAGGCCTCCCCAGCCATGAGGAACTGTGAATCAATTAAACCTCTTTTCTTTATAAATTACCCAGTCTCAGGTATATCCTTATAGCAATGTTAGAATGGATTCATACAGCCACTGACCTGCCGTCAGCCTAGTGCAGGGTAATAGGAGATCCACATGTGCTATCAGGGCCCAAAGTTGAAGTCCTGTTTCTCTTAAACTCTGCAGTGGGCAGAACGGAGCTCTTGCTGGTCCCTGCCATGCAATGGGTCATCCTCTCACCTCTTTCAGCTTCTTCTTCCCCCATCCTCTGACCCTCACCTGGCTCAGGGCTCACCCCGGGTATTCAGGAAAGCTGATGAGTTCCCAGGTTAAGAAAGTTCCCCAAGCCAATGTGAGGGTTGAGATTGGATGAGGCCACTCAGCCAGTCTGAGCCTGGGTCCCGACACCTCTGGCTTCCGAATAATTCTCCCATGGCCCTGTTGCTTGTGGAATGCAGTATGAATGCCTGACACTGCACCTAGCAGCTCTTAGTGAACTGGAGATGCCTCAGTGAGCATCTGGCCCTTGGCTGAGCATCCCCACACTTCAGTGACTCTAGAGGAGCACACAGATCCCCCCAGCTCTGGGTGAGGCTGTTGGAGGCTGGGGTGCTATGCCCAGATCACTGGTGTGCATAGAACCCTGGGGGCAGGATGGCCTCCTGCCAGAAACATGGTGGTCAACAGGTCCATCTGCTGTACCCAGGTCACAGTAAGTTGTTCTGTGTTCTCCACATGAGGTCAGGCTCCTGAGGAGACCTTCATGGGTCTACACAACAGGTTTTAAGTCTTAAGTGGTTAGAGAGGAACACAGAGAGCCAAGGATGCTTCTAGGATTTGCCACTGAGGCCAGTTGCAGCAAAACATCATGAAAAAACATTCCAAGCAATACTGTTAGAAATGGGCCTTCTTGCTGCTGGGAGCTTCAGGGTTGGAGCTGCCTTTCCAGCCACTGTCCAGTCATGGAAGCTTCTGAAGCCCATGTGGGGCCAGAGCTGGGCTTGCTCTGGTCCTGACACACTGGGCATGAGACATACAGCATAAGGAGGTGGGCTCAGAGTTTCCTCACTCCCTACATTCCTGCTGGCAATAGGGTCCCATCAATGACTCTAACTGCATTCCTTGCAAGAGGGGTGCCGGGAGACAGAGCCCAGTGTCACAGTAGTAAAACCATCCATGTCCTAACCGTTCTCGAAGAGCCCAGGCCTCGTGGGGAGCTAATAATAGGCTCTGCATGTGGCCCACTCACTCACAGCTCCACCTGGGGAGGAGGCCATCACCAGGTCTGCGTCTGGAGGAAAGGAGTCAGTCCCTGCCCTGGGCTTATGTTCCCTTTTGGCCCACGCTGTCTGCAGAGTTCATGCAATAGCTGAATTGTACATAATTTACAGCACCGTGTGATTACCTTCAGCTTTAGACTCAATAAAATCTTCCTATGCTAGCCGGGTTCTGCACCATAAATGCACCCCACAGCCTCCCTGCAGGCCCCAGAGGTCAGCTATCCCTGACCTGGGCTTGCTGGAGCAAGGGTCTGCCTGCTCTGAGAGCAGGAAGGGATCCAGCTACCTGGGCATGGAGTCTGCTGCAGTTGGCCAGCCTCATCTTCCAGCCTCCAGCATGGGCCTAGGCAGCGCCCCATGGGCCCGTGAGCCTGCCTTCCCTGAGGGCAGGGCCTGGCATGGGAGTGTGATACTCTCTATCTTGGTCCATTTCCCTAGTGGGGTGGACTGTCCAGGTAAAGCAAATTCCCATTCCACTCCCCACCTGAAGGGCTGAGGGCGTAAGGCCACCAGCAAGGGGAGGCGACCTTCTCAGGGTCACCTGGTAGGTCAAGGGCAGGGTTGGAGCTGCAGAGTTTGCCAGGCAGAAGGGCAGGTCATATTCTCCCACGTGAATGACCAGGCTGACTGTGGCCAAGGCCTCCAGGCACAACACTTGGGGTTCGGGTCAGGGCTCCCAGATGCTGGCACTCAGGACAGAGTGGCCCCGACAGGGAAGCCCATTGATTTGTCTCCCACAGACTCAGGGCTCCAGCGACACACATTGATTCTCTTACAGTTGGGAGGGTCAGAAGTCTGACACAGGTCTCGCTGAGCTAAAGTCAGGGTGTGGGCAGGGCTGGATCCTTCTGGAGCCTCTGGAGAGGTCCATTTCCTGCCTTTTCCATCTTCCAGAGGCCCCCGCAACCCTGAGCTCGTGATTCCTTTCTTGAGTCTCAAGGCGAGTCATCTCCTGATCTCTCTCTCTCTCCGTGTGTGTGTGCACGTGTGTCTTTCTGTGTGTGTCTACGTGTACATGTGTGTCTGTGTGTATGTGTGTGTATGTGTCTGTGTGTGCTTATGTGTATGTGTCTGCATATGTGTGTCTCTCTGCATGTGTATATGTGTGCATGTGCATCCCTGTGTATGTGTATATGTGTGCATATGTCTCTGTGTGTATGTGCGTCCCTGTGTGTGTGTATATGTGTGCATGTGTCTCTGTGTGTCTGTGTGTATGTGCGTCCCCGTGTGTGTGTATATGTGTGCATGTGTCTCTGTGTGTCTGTGTGTGTATGTGTCTGTGTGTGTTTATGCGTGTATATCTGCATGTGTGTATGTGTATGTGTGCATGTGTGTCTCTGTATGTGTGTTGATGTGTGTGTCTATGTGTGTGTCTCTGTATATATGTATATGTGTGCATGTGTGTCTCTGTGTGTCTGTTTGTGTGTATATGTGTTTGTGTGTGTCTCTGTGAGTGTGTTTGTATGAAACACCTCTGCCTCCATCTTCCTATCTCTTCCTCACTGATCTTCCCACCTTCCTCTTAGAAGGACCCTTGTGATTACACTTGGGGCCACCTGAATGACCCAGGTTATTCCCCCACCTCAGGATCCTAATCCCATCTGCACAGACCTTTTGCCATGTAAGGTGATGCACACCTGTTCTGGGGATCAGGACATGGACATCTTTGGGGCCATCATTTTGGCTCCCACACTCATGAACGTGGCTGGGCTGAGTAGTGGACCCAGCACATCTTCTCAGGGCCATTTCTGGGGAGGTCCTGGTCTGCCCAGGGTTGCGAACATGCAGGGCCCCAGGCCCTGAGCCCTATGCCTGGTCCATGGAACATGCCTGGCTGAGTGAAGTGTGGAGTAATTTTCTCCACGCAAAACAGAGTGGCTTCTATTGACCCGGATCCATAGCTCCTCCAGAACCTGCGCAAGGCTGGCCGGAGTGAGGCGTGAGTGGGCTACTGGGGACCCAGGCAGTGCCCAACAGTACCCCAACAGGTCGGGGGCCTCCCTCAGAGGGAAGTCAATAGCTAGAGGTGGGTACGTGGGTGTTCTCACCCATTCATTCCCGCACATTTGAAAAGTCCCAGGAGGCTTGTGGAGCCAGAGGGACCTTCTGAGGTCACTGCAGGAAGCTGAGGCCCAGAGAGGGAAGGGAGCTTGCCCCAGGGGAACCTCCCAGGGGGTCCACACCTAGACCAGACCTTGGTGCCAGCACAGGCCTCAATCTCTACAGCACCCTGATACCACTTAGGGGATAAACCCAGAGCCCAAGCCGGCCTTGCTGGCCTTTATCTCATGGGGACAGTGCAGGGCCAGAGTGTCAGAGCGCAGAATCTTCCATGCACCTCCATGCCGCAGGCTCTGGGCCCCACATTCCTTAGGGAGGGACTTTTCTCCTTTCCTTCCCTCTCATTATTTTTCTTCCTTTCATTTTTTTTCTTTTTAATCTTTTCTGATAACCTTTCACAGATAAGGGGTTTAAAAATGGCACATGATTCATTTTAGATATCTTCAATTTCCATATATGAAAATACAAATCTTCATTATTTGCTCATCCACAAATGAGCAGGACACCGGGGCTGTGGTTGCTAATGAAAGCAGCCCTTTTAATTCTGCTGCTGTGGGAGGGTAATGAGCTGTGGCCGTGCGCATTGCTTGACGGCCATGCAGAGCTCGACTGGGGAAGTGTAGGGAGCCACTCTCCAAATTACTCCATTGCCGGAACCGGGGTCAGAGGTGCCCCAGAATGCTCTGCATCTGAAATGGAATTTCACTGAGGCAGAGACAGCTGGTGGGCTGGAGAGAGCTCTGCCTGCATGTGACCTTCATGAGCTGCTTGGTTTCTCTGAATGCTGGTGTTCTTCCTGGTCTAAGGCTGGTGATAAGAATGTCTACCTGTTAATCAAATGAATCAGATCCATAAAGCCCCCTAAAAAGGCAGGCTTTGTCTTTAGCATTCATACTGTCCGTAAACAAGCTTTGCAAATGCATGGATTGCAGTCCTGAGGGGCTTTTTCAGTGAGAGTTCATGCTAATGACTTTCTAATTAAGTGTCTCTGAGAGCCACTGAGATGAGTTTTTCCACTCAAACAGGTGTGTGGTCTGGACGGGCGATGACCGAGTTTTCTTCTTCAACCCAACGATGCACCTGTCTGTCTGGGAGAAGCCCATGGACCTGAAGGACCGCGGAGACCTCAACAGGATCATTGAGGACCCACCCCACAAACGCAAGCTGGAGGCACCAGCAAGTAACTAAGCACTGGGTTATTTACATCTCCTTTGAAGTGTTTAAGCTGCTTATTTCTAATGAATGTAAAGTGAAAGCATGTTTCTTCTTGGTTATGTTGAAAATTGACTATTAAGGAATCCTGTGCACGACTGCAGAGTTTAGTAATCAAGCTTTTATGGCACTTCCTGCAGAAACCTTGATCCTTCCAAGCGGTCGGCTCTGACTGTCTTTTTGCATCACGTAAGGTGATTAATGCAGAGATGGCCATTCATTCCATCAGCCCCTCGAAGCTTCCATCCAGCATCACTGTTACCCAGCATTTTATTCTTGTTCCAAATGTCTTATAAACGCCCCTTGAGAGACCAGATGTACACAGATGGGAGTGTATTTTCTTCCACCTTACATTCACTTTAGACCTTTGCACCACATCGATCTGCTGTTGTGTTTGGATGGATGCCTCGGACGGGGGAAGAGATTCTCTTCAGCCATAGAGGAATGGGGTGCTTGGCAGAGGCGGTTGTTTCTGACAATGCCTGTAAATCTTGTTTTGCCAAGAAACAGAGAGGAACTTTTAGCATTTTCACACAGGATCTTTTCCGATTAGATCTAATACATATTTTATTAGCTGCTGCTCAGGGAAAGCCCTCCTCCCACAGCATGTGGATTCAAACAGTCTTGACTCCACTGGAGATGTTTGAGAGCAGGAGCTCTCTGCCAACTTGAGAGGCAGAGGCGCCTGGCTGCCAGGCCAGGCCGGTGAAATGGGAGCTTGGCTCTTTGTTTTAGTTTTGTGTGGAATTCTATTGGGTTCCTAGTGGCATTGGGTTCATAGTGGCATTTTTAATTTCACATCATTGAGGGCTAATACTAGACGATGGCAATTCACACGTCGTGTCACATCCCGAGGTATTTGACTGAAGCTTTAGAAGACAGTATTATAAAAGTTTTGTCAGCATTTTTAACCATAGTAAGAGACACGGTGGTAGTCTTTTAAGATTGAGACATCACACGTTTAAAATGTTTACTCCACTTAAAATAGTGACAGCATTCTCCAGAGACTGAATCAGCATGTTGGGAAAAGAAAAATCTCCAAGGTGCATATGGAATTGATTCTGTAAAACGTTGCTGTATTTAGGGACAGTGAAAATTGAATTTGGCGATTGTGTTTCCTCCTTTGATCAGGCCACATTCATTATTAAAAGGGGGCCTTGTATGTCCTGAAAGAGTGCTTTAAAATCATTACAGAAAGCACACTCTCAAGGTTCCTACTCGTGGACAAGAGGATGGTGCACGATTTGGGAAATCATGACACATTCAGACCCCACGAGAAACACTGAGGCACAGTCTGTCCTAACGATGATTTTATTTGCTTGGCAAAGGCAGATCACACTGGCAGATTCCTCACTCCTTTCTTTAGCTTGTGTTCTTGTAGATAATTGGGTGCTGTTTCTTTCTTCCCCAAAAGAATTGGTAGTAAGGAGAAAGAAATGAACTTATTAAAGGCAATGCATAGCTGCTCTCTCATTTCTTTTGTTTGGACCAAATCAGGTCAGGTCTGAAAAGAAGTAGGGAGGCGTCTGCAAATGCCCCCACTGGGCCACCTGCTGTCTCAGGGCTCGCCAGGACTGTGGGTAGACGACAGGGGCCTGGATTACCTGGCTCAGAGCTCCATGCTCCGTTTCCTTCTTTTAACAAGAATCTCATGTTACACTCTGAAAAGTAGGGAGTTAAGGTTTTACAACCAGAAATACCTGATTAATTTAGATTTAGCATGTTATGGTGTTTTGTCTGATACCCATTTTATTATGGTAGACCTAAGTACTCTACTTAGACAGACATGTGATTACAAAATTACATGTAGTTATAAAACGATTTTTAATCTTACTTCCCTCCTCATATAAAGAGAGGAAGAGATTTGTCTTCAACCAGTCTTTTTTTTTTTTTAACCTGAATCTTAAGGATATGCAAATGACTTCGATTCTCGACTTCCGGTTGCCAGGGTAGAATTGATGTTTAAGAGCACAACTTCTAATTCCCTAAAATGCACTCAGAGAGCTTTGCAGCGAAACAATTAGGACAGGAGGTGTTTCTGGAGGGTTAATTAACGATCAGGGAGCAGAGTTGACGGCCTGCAGCCATCAGGAGTGACTGGCATTCTCCCTGGCTGACGTGCATCGCGGCTCGTCCGATATTTAACCCTGATGATGAAAACAAGCTCCAGGGGAGATGGCTCTGGGTGGAGAGTTTTGTTTTTCACATTTTGTTCAACTATCAGTCATTGTCGATGTGAATATATCCCTACCTATTTGTAGTCTGAAATGGGACAGTTACGCTTTCAGTCGACACCCATTACTTTTCAAGAGGCAGATGAAATAGAAGAACTTTGTAAAATGGCTACAACATTTAACTGCTCTTAGGCCTCAGGGGCGTGTGTCTGTGTGAGCGTGTGTCTGTGTGTGCGTGTGTGTCTGTGTGAGCGTGTGTGTCTGTGCGTGTGTCTGTGTGGAGCGTGTGTCTGTGTGTGCGTGTGTGTCTGTGTGTGTGCGTGTGTGTCTGTGTGTGCGTGTGTGTTCGGTGGGGGCGTGTGTGTCTGTGTGAGCGTGTGTGTCTGTGTGTGCGTGTGTGTCTGTGTGTGTGTGTGTCTGTGTGCGTGTGTGTCTGTGTGAGCGTGTGTGTCTGTGGGGGTGTGTGTGCATGTGTCTGTGTGAGCGTGTGTGTCTGTGTGTGCGTGTGTGTCTGTGTGAGCGCAGTGTGTCTGTGTGTGCGTGTGGGTTCAGTGAGCGTGTGTGTCTGTGTGTGCGTGTGTGTTCGGTGGGGCGGTGGGTCTGAGCGTGTGTGTCTGTGTGTGCGTGTGTTCCGTGTGGAGCGTGTGTGTCTGTGTGCGTGTGTGTCTGTGTGAGCATGTGTGTCTGTGTGAGCGTGTGTGTCTGTGTGTGCGTGTGTGTTCGGTGGGGGTGTGAGACGTGGAAGTTGTGGCTCACAGTGCCGGGCAGCTGTGGGATGCAGGATGCAGCACCGCCAGAAGTGCTGAGACGTTCGTCATTCCGCAGATAAGGGAAGAGACCGTTTTTTCATTCTGTGAGCACTGCTGAAGGATTCGAGCGAAGTCTTGAATTATTTTCTAATTACCTTGCAGAGCATCCAGATTTTTTATAGCTGTAGTAACTGTGCTGTTAGTTGAGAATAAATGCCAGTAGAACTGGAGGAAAATGAGAAGTGCCAGGCTTCACCCTCACCCCCATCCGTTCCATGCCATGCCGTTCTCGGGGATCTTACCGACACTTCAGTTTGGAGGGTGCTGGCTGTTGCATTCCCACCTGTGCCCACATTTCACAGGCCTTTCAGAGGCATGGTTCTCTCACTGTCTTCGCCTGCAGCAGCCGAACCCTCTCTTGCTAGAGATGGCAGAAACTCCCCTGCCATCTGGCCGTGCACCTGCAGCCCGGCCACCTTGGCCTGCTCAGCCTGCCCTGGCCACGGGGGCCACCTGTCACTTTACTGGGACATTTGGTGCAGCCTGGTGGGAAGTGTTGGAGCTGGAGCCCTTGGGTTCTTCATCTGGGGTGGAGGGAGGAGAAGTCGGGGAGAAAGAGGGAATACAAACCCCGGCCTCTCTTCCTACCTGGCTGTCTCCTGTTAGTGCCTCCCAGGAGTGGAGGAGGACCGGGAGCCCTGGGGTAAGAAGTGAAGAGGGGCCTTCTCACTGCCTTGGGGAGGGGAGGGACCACCGGGTGGGACCCTGGGTGTATGCAACCCCCACACTTGGTTCCATTGACTCCCCTCCTCAGTCCCACGCAGCAGATGCCATCAGCATTGGAGACCCCTTCCTGCTGTAACAAATTATCACCACGGGGCTAAAAGTCACACAAGGTGATGATCTTACGATTCTGGAGGGCAGACATCAAGCAGAGCCTCACTGGCATCGGCAGGGCTGTGTTCTTTCCAGGGGATTCAGGGGAGATTTCCTTGACTCCTGGCCCCCTTATCCATCTTCATGCCTCTCTCTTCTCTCTCTGGCTCTGGCCCTTCTGCCTCCCGCCTCCACTCTCAAGGGTCCCTGTGGTCTGTGGGGCCACCTGGATGATACAGGATGGTCTCCCACCTCAAGGGGAGCTGTTTAGCAACCTCCATCCCCTTTTCCAGGTAGCCCAGGGTATGCACACCTTCCAGGATTCAGATGTGGGCATTGGTGGGAGACATTAATCTGTGACCCATACCTGCTTTACAGAAGAGGGAATTTCAAAAAGCAACTTAGTTAACTTGCCCAGGGTCACACCTCTACTGAGTGGAGAATGGGGATTTGCACCCTGGCGAGTCTGATGCCAGGCCTGAGGGCAGCCTGGCCAGGCCTCCATGAGCCTGTGATGGACACAGGTGACTTTTTGTGCCAGCTCACCAGGCAGCAGCTACAGCAGCTGGGCACTCAACACTGTCCCTCCCTAGCCTGCAGGCAGATGACATGAACTTCAGTGGACTTAATTGCTCTATAAACACTTTAGACATTTATATTCAAGACCAATGTAAATTGATAATGACATTCATTTTACCAAGTAGGATGTAAAATTGTCCGGTGAGTAAACACAGCTGTGACTCATGAATGGGTCACTTTCCCCAGCGTTGTTTGTCCAAGAAGACAGCGCACACTGGATCTATGACAGCCAGGGCCCCAGGTGGCTGGGGCACTTGGGGGGACCCAGGGCTGCTGAAAACACAAATGCCAGAGCCCTGGAGGGTGGTGAGCTAGTGTGGTTCTGTCCATGAGGATTCCGGGCAATGTGGGGGGCTCTGCCCACCTGGAACCCACCTGCCCCAGGCTCTCTGGGAGGAATCATGGTCTTCATATCACGGCACCCTCTGCTGGCCTCCAGGCCCTGAGCCTCCTCTTTGAACAATGAACGAACCAGGTGGCTTGTTTGCTAAGCTCCATTTTAGTTTAGTCTCTGTAAACATGATTGTTTACATTTAAACATCTTTGTTTAGTCTCTGTAACATGATGCTGAGATGAAGCAGATGAGCTGC